CGCGTCGCGCGAGCGTCGCTCGGGCCGTTCGCGCGTCGCGCGCAGGTCGCGCGCGAATCGCTCGAAGGGCGCCGCGGGCTTCTGGCGGCGCGTGAACTGCGCGGCCCGCTGGCGAAACTATCGAGGGATGCGCGCGGCAATCGTGAAAAATAACGAGACGCGCGCGCGGGAACTACGAGCGCGAGGGGGCCCGTGGGCGACGTGGAGACGCAGCGCGCGCGGACTAATCCATTCCAAGCGCGCGCCCCGTCAGAATTGGAACATCGGTTCGTCGCTGCAGCAATTTGGCGACGTCTCGCCCGCCGATGCATTGGGGGGAAAAAGCGGATGGAAGTGAGGCGAGGGAAGGGCGGGCGGAAACGGGGAGCGATGGAGGGCAATCGAAGGGGGCCGGCGGGGGCGAGGAGGGCGAGAAGGAAGTTCCAAGAGGGTGGAAGGACATAAGGGGGGTGAGTAGGGGGGGGGGCAGGACGGCAGCCTGACGCAAAAGACCGGAATGCAAATTTCGCAAGCGGGACAAAACGCGCAGCGCGTGGGACGAGGAGAAGAAGAAGGAAGGGGGGGGGGCAGGAGGATTGGCGCGAAACGAAGTGGGAGTGCGGGGCGCGATGCGACGGGGCGAAGCGGCGCCGCGTCGCGCGACGCGACGTCGCCCCCGCCGTGGCGCGACGCGCGCAGCCCCCAATCTATGCGAGGCGTCTTCGTCCTCAGCAACGGTTGGCGCCCCCGAAACTGCGCGCCAGCAAACCCTCTTGCGCCGAAGTGGAAACAGAACGCGTTGGTGGACCGTCGAACTAGAGTGCGCCTCGACCGCCAGAATGGCCGCTGGTGCACCGGCGTCGGAAAACTATGTACCGCCAGAGAAATTCCGAAGTCGCGCCGCATGTCGCCCGCGCACTCTGGGAGGCCGGGATTCGGGGCAAAGACGCAAACCAGGGCCGGCGCACGGGCGACGCTCGGGCGATGCACTGATCGAAACTTCAGGGGGGGGGGTCGCTTGACTGGGCCTTAACAGTTGAGGCCTACGGCGACTCTATAAGACTGGTTGCCATCGTAGGTTGTAGCCGCTGTGCCAAAACAATTGGCTGCCAGTGCGAAGATGTTCGACTGGTCTGACGCTTGCCGCCTTGAGCTGCGTGCCCTGCAACCGAATGACGTCGCCTCCCCGCCGCGCGAGCCGGGCGCCCTTCGCGCGCTGCCGCCGGGGCGGCCAATGGTCTCCTTCCGACCCGCTGAGCGCCCCCGGGCAGGAAAGCGACAGAGGCGGGGCTGGGGGCGGCGAGCCCCGCGCCAGCCTCTCGCGCAGGGGCGCCCCGCCCGCGCCCGCTGCGCGGGAATGCGCGAGCGCGGCGGCGGCGGCGGGGGCGGGGGGCGAGCAGGGCGGCGCCCGCGGGCGCCCCCATAGCGCGATGTTCGCAGGGGCGCCCGCCCCAACGCACGCGCGTCGCTCGCGCCAGCGTCGGGCCAGACATTGCGGGGCGCCCGGCGGCGTCGCGCGCTCCGGGGTTCGCGGCAATGGCGGGGCATATTAGTTGGGCCAGGTCCTCGAGCATTTGCCCGAACTCGTAGCGCAGCGGCCGCTTTGGCACCGTCGTTTCCGCGCAAAATAAGCTTGACTTGGCCCTGTGACTATCGCGTGCCCAGGGGCGGCGCGCTGCCGACCAGCGGCCGCCTCTCCTGCGTAATGAGCTATTGCTTGCCCGCGGCGAGATCGCGGGCGAATCGCAGCGTTCCCCGTCGGGGTCGACGCGACGTTGCATGTCGATATTTGTGAACAGCGTCCTCTGAGCATCCACGCTCTTGATTTTAATGGGTCTCTTTCTGTTCGTGCGACGCGTGTGGCTGCTTGGCTTTGAATGGCAGACGGAGTGCAATGTTGGCTCGACGGCGCGACCCTGGATCACCAGCTTCCTCGGTGAATCCGCGAGCCACGTGCGTGAGCAGCTTGGTAGGATGACTTTCAGGTTGCGTTGCGGCTGTAAGTTCAAGCAACACTTTCCTGCGTGGGGTCGCCTGCTTCTTTCAATGATTAACGTTCATGCGTGCCGTCCTGCAGCAAAACATACATGTGAACTTCTCTGCGTACGTTCCTCCTGGAATCCCTGCACAACTGTCTTGCTAATATTCCTCTTTCATTTTCCTCCTGAGTCCCTGGCACAATTGTCCTGCTTCGCGCTCCTGCGTAATTGTTCCCTGTTAATTCCCGGTATGAAATATGCAGGCCCAACTAACGTTGACGACGGTAACTGGCCTTAACGACGTCGCTAGAAGGGCGACAATTGTTTTGCTCATGTGTGGGTAATTCGCCGGATCACTACCGGGAAAGTAACAACCAAATGCACAAACATTGCTGGACGGCTCAGCTGCAGCTGAAACTAAAGCCTAGATTGGCGCTTAGGCTTGGCGCCCGCATTAGCGCGTGAACAAGTTTGCCAATTCGTACCAGCTCGGCTTCCCGATTCGTTTCGCGCATACGACAAAAGTGTCCTGCTTCCTCCGCAGCCGAATATCATACTGTTTTGGCCGTCCCCACCCCCCGCGCACTTGCGCGAGGCCGTGTCGGCGAACGCCGCCATGCAAGCGCCACCGCCGAAGGCCAAGGCCAAGGCGAAGCAGGCTTTCAAGCGGACCGTCACGGAGAAGGACTTCATCGGGGGGAAGAACTGCGCAGAAGGAAAAACATCACTTACGATCAAGAATTAGGGGTGGCGACGGGCAGAGACAAAAAACAGGAAATGGGAACACCAGGACGAGCAAACATCGCGGTGTGGCTGCCGGGCATTGCCTTCCTCCCCTTCCTCATCATCCTCCTCCTCCCCCTCCACCTTCTCCTCGTTGCCCTCCCCCCTTTCCTTCGCTGCCCCCGGAAATGTGTTGACCAATTGATTGTTCTTCCTCTCCCACTCTACCGTGTCCCCGTCATCATCATCATCACCATCATCATCACCATCATCATCGTCATCGTCATCATCATCGCCACTCGCACCCCGCGCCCCTGACCCTTCTGAGCGCGCGCCCTTCTTATGAAGCTGACCCAGTGGAGACAATGCGGAGGATGACAAGGGAGAAGGACCGAACAGCGAGCGGAAGGGACGAGGAGCACGCATCCCACCCACCCAACCTCAATTTGTTGGTAAGGTAAAACTCAACACACCAAACATCGGTGTCGTCCTCGCAAGCACTTGCCCAACGTCAATCGCCAACGCCACTCTCGGAATGGCAACCATCATCGCTGGCATTGCCGCTGTGGCCGCTTTGGCCGTCGTCACCACCACGAAAGACCGCGTCAGAGATTTGTCGTCCCCGATGCCGCCGGCGGCATCGCTCCTCCCCCGCCTGATCACGTCGATCCGCATGGCTCGGAAGCCGGGCAAGGGCTGCTAAATCTGTGGCTGCTAAAATCGACCTCCGGGAAATTGTCTTCGTCCTTCTGGGAAGAAACACGTTGACTGTTTCGCGTGCCGCGCCACATTCCGGGAAGTTGTTTGTTCCTTCCGGGAGGGCCGTTTTAGCAGCCACGGTTTTCGCTGCCCTCGCCCAGCTTCCGACTCGCCCGCCTGATCACGTCGATCTGCATGGTCATGGTTTGCGCATCAGTCTTTGCCTTGAACGGTTCGAACACATTCGGGGGTGAAACTCTGGTGCGACGTGCCGCGATGCACGCGTGCGCTGCGTCGATCCTTTGGCGCGCACGGGGCGTACGCCCCCTCCCAAGTTGTAGGCACACAATAAGAAGGCATGCGTCCGACCAAGGAAAGATGCCACACACATACAGGACACGAAACAGATGTCAAAATAGGCGTCTGGAAACTCAGTGGTTGTGGATTGAATCTGCACAGCGTTGGTCCGCGACAAAATGCTGGCAAGCTCGAAGAGAACTCCAGGGAGAACAGCGAACGGGAGTCTCGGCGGCGACCCGCAAATCTCCAAGGCGTATTGGCACTTCCCTGTGGAGGCTCCCGACGAGCCCAACCGTCCCCAACATTGGCTCCAAACTGCCCCAGACGTCTCCAATATGCGCCTGGATAGCTCCACGGCGCCAGCAATGGTTCCAAAGCGGCTCCGCGTGGCCATGGGGCCTCCCGGTGAGGCCCGCAGGGAAAAACGCTATCCACCAACATCACATGGTTTTCCGTAGGGCCGTAGGGCTTGCCTGTTCGCCTTTGAGGGGGGCCCGCCGCGACTCCCGATCTGCGGGTTCGCACATGGTCTTCTAGCAAACCTAGCATGAATTCGGCCATTTCGTGACGACACGAACGCGTCTGTCGCTGACGAGCGAACAGACAAGCAGCAATCACGTCACGGAATAATCCGACTTCGACAATTTCGCAAGTAAATGTGTGTTTGTTCGTTGCGCACGTGCAAAGCACATCATATCTTCATTAAGACGTGGCCAGCGGCCGAGGGCGACTCGCGTATGGATGCTCACCAGGTGGAGCGGGTACGTTGTCTGTCGTGCAAACATGAAAAGGAATTCGCGCCAAAGACGCCGAAGACGACGACGGAACGAGTCGGAGGCAATTGAGGGGCCACTGGGTCAGATTTGTGCTTGGGAGCTAACGCGCTGATCCCTCACATTGCGCTCCGCGCGGCTCGAAACGCGGTCATGTTCGCGCTTTCGCTCGGCCACTCTGCAAAGAGCAGCCCTCTGGCCCATGCCCATGCCGCGAAGCGTGGTTATCTATCTTCGAGCCCCCGCGGGTTATCCAAACATGCGTTCGGGCTTTCGGTGTACCACTGCGGCTGGCTGGCCGATTACAGGAGAGGCGAGGACTTGAACTTGGTATGAGGATCCTGCGCGGCGAGGGCGCTGAACTCGGCGGCTGAAACGCGTGATTGTGAAAAATGGGCGCCCCCTCTCGCATCTACCTGCTGTTGCTCCTCCTTCTCCTCGTCCTGCGCTGCCTCCTTCCGCTGCCGCTCCTGCCTCTCGTCCTGTTCCTATATGTTCATCTGCGCTTTTTCTGTACCGCGCTCGGCGCTTGATCTCCCGCCATGACTTGCGGCGTTCCCGAAACCGCGGTCGGCGCCGTCGCCCAAACAACCGGCTCCGCAGGCCAGCAAGTCCTGGGGGCAGCCAAAGCGGCGGTGATATAGGACAACTCGCAAGTTGCCAGGGCTGCGGGAGGGAGGGAGGGAAGGAGGGGGGGTAGGAGTTTGGAGGAGAAGGTCCAGTGCACCACCAAGACGCACCAACGGTTGCAAATACACCCTCGCTCAAGACTCCTTGGTCGTAAGTCCCACCAATATGTTTTCATCGTGAGAAATGGCAACCGTCTGAAAGTCCTCAATCGTGCCACAGCGCAATTCCCAGAAGTTCAAGGCCACGAATCAACCTGACTGTTGCGTCTTCATAACCGTCAGCCGCACCATCGCACCATTCCTGGGACTTCACCGCATCGAATAAACATGACTGTTGCGTCCTGACAACCCTCAACCGTGCTGGGACACCACTCTCGGGCCTTCAGTCGTACGACCCCTTGAAACGGTTCAACATGTTCGACACGTGTTCGCGGCACTCAGGCGAACGCCACGTTTTGCGAAAACGCAGCCCTGCATCCTTGACACTGTTGTGCAATATGTTCAAGCGGATGTGCGCAGTGCTACGGCGAGAACTCCATTTTGAAAACGGCCCGCCCTCCATGGTTAAAGCCTGTGAAAGCTTGTAAGGCGAATGTGTGCGGCGCTGGGGCGGGAACCACATTTTTAAACCGGCCCGCCCTCCATCTTTGAACGTGTTGTATGTACAAGGAAATATGCGGGGTTGTCAGGCGAGAAATATATTTTGAAAACCGCCAGCCCTCCATCCCTCAAACTGTTGCAAACCAAACTTCACACTTCAAACCGAACGAAACGCCAGGTCCGCCCTACCGACGCGTCCAGGGGTGCGACAAGGAGGAGTTATGATCAGGAGAAAGGCTGGAAGATACCAGGGGTGAAGGAGAGGAGGGGGAAACAGAGGAGGAGGAGGCGGATGAGGAGGAGGAGGATAAACGGGGTGGCGAGGGATATGGGGGAAGACAGTTTTGTTCCCCGTGGGTGGACAGGTGTCCTGGGGTGGGTCTATGGGGCCCCGCCTTCGTGGGGGCCTTGCTGAATTGCTTCGTTGCCTTGGAGCGCCCTGGCCATGCTCCTCTCCCAATCCACTGGAGGTCGCCGTCGCCCGCCTTTGAGGGCGGGCCGTGTTCCTCGTGAGGACTGAGGAGGGGGAGAATGAGGGGGAGGAGGATGAGGATGCAATTTCTTTTGTGGGCCAAATAATTCTCGCGGTGGTGCAAAGGATTCGATTGCGACCACCGCGAGCGAAAGACTCTGATAGCTACTTCGCACACTTGCCACAGATTCCGCAAGCACGTCGAAAAACGTACAACTGATGAGGCACGACGTGGGCTGTCTTAGAGCACGAGAGAACCGCTTGGGCCGCAGTGTTGCGGCAAGGTAGGAATCAATCGGATCGCGCGCTCTGTGACATTCTGCTACGCTGGATTCCGCATGGCTGCTAAATGCACTGTCTTCTGTGGTCCAGATAATTTTCGCGGTGGTGCAAGATATTTGACTGCGACCAACGCGAGCCAGAGACTCTGAGAGCTAGCTCGCACACTTGCCAATCACCGCCATCAGCTGCGACCTAACGGTCGAGGCGGCACTCTCTCCAAAAGCGACCTGTCCACTCTACTTGACCAGCGACGCAGCAATTGGGGAGGATAAGGCTCGGCATCTTGGGTCCACAGTCTGCCTCCTGGAGCCTTGCCTTCTACAGTGCGATGAGGCTTGCCCGAATACCGACGCCTGGGGCTTGTGCGCTGAGCTGTGAGTGGTGCAAGCCAATGTTCGTTGTCGTCCCGACAAACTAGGGCAGTTGCTTTGCGCCAGAACATATCGCCATTACAACAAACAGTGTGAATGTGAATGAGAGTAGCTTGGCGCTGCATCAAGCTTAGACCGGGCTGCTTCCACGGCCAGGACTGGCGAAGTTTTTTTTCTAGCGATACAAGCACCTGATGGCGAATGCATGCTCGAATTGTTTGAATAGATGTGCGCAGCAACGAGCTGCCAACTCAAACCTCCTCAGCGTCGAGGCCAGAACGACTAGGAAACCCACGGAGATGCCGGGGGGCGCGCAAGGGCAACCCCTGGGGGCCCGGGCGCGCACCTGGACAACTTCCGCAACGAGTGCCGAGGTGGACCCGGCGCGCCTCTGGTACTAATTCGAGCACGTCCTTGAGATTCCAAAGTTGTACTATAATGCCTGGACGAACTATAGATCAACCCTGTGATTTCCCTGGACCGCACTATAGAGCAACCCAGGATTTTTGAGTGTATTGTACTTTTTTTCGTTAGCGCATCCTTCTTGGATCCCCTGAGCGAGGGGCATCGCATATCATATCCGCACATGCGCGATCCGCAGCAGCGAAAGGTCGAGTGCATCGCGCTTCCTTTGTTCGCGCATTTCGCGCGGGCGCGGCCAACATGGCCAAGGACAAGCAAATGCAGATACGGTCTTCCACGGTGAGCGCCGATCAGTTGAAGTCGCCGGTGAAACAGCGCATTGGCTTGGTCGAGCGTTGCCAGCTGAAGGGGGGCACGGATGAGTTCATGAAGAATAACATGCCTCTCCTCCTTGGGCTTGCAGAGCACGCCACGCGCGTCAAGTGGAAGAGCTTCCAGAGCGCTGCGCTGCAGCAGAAGCCGAACATGCACGCGGATGATCGCGGGCGTTTTTGCCAGGAAGTAACCAATTCATTCAGCCACACGCGCAACAAATTCTACCAGGCGAGGACGGGGAGCAAGTTGGATGCGCACGTGAAGTTGCTGGGTGAAGCCATGGGTTTGAAGTTCGGGAAGGATAGCCCAAGCACAGTGGGATCTGAAGGCAAACGCGCCGACGACAGCTCCGACCTGGAGGTCTCGCCTTCCGCCGCGTCGTCCAGCGCTCCTGCGGCCGCCGCGTCGTCCGGCGATCCCGCGTCTTCCAGCGGGGACTGCAGGCGCGATGTCATCAAAAACGCGTTCGGCATCAGCCCCCCTCCGAAGCCGAAGACGCAGAAGGTAGCCAACAGCCCCATGATGGTGTTCTCGTCGCAGGACGTCGGCATGTCGGAGGGCGAGTTCGTTGAACCGCCCGCCGCGGACGCCCTGTAGGGGGATCGATCGGAGGGGGGCGGGAGGGCTGGAAGGAGGGGGGGGACGTGGGGGGAGGGGGGGGGGGAGGAGCGGCACGATAGTTTTGCCTGTATTTGAACATGACAACACGCACCTGTGTTTGATCCCCTCCAGGAGGGGCAATAGATTGCGGCGTCGTGCGTTTGAGTAACCCCACTGGGGCAAAAAAGTGTCTACCCGCCCAGGATCCCCTGGCGAAGTTCCTCGACTTCAATTCCGATCCGATGTGCTTGTTGCTGAAGTTCGCGGACAGGGAGGAGCGGGGGGAGCTGGCCAAAGGAGACGATGGTCTCTTGCAAGCGGTGTTCCCCGACGGCAGGGAGGAGAAGACGGAGCAGCCCAACGCGCTGCTTGCAGCGAGGGCGGCGGGGTCGAAGGCGAAGGCGAAGGCGGTGGCAAAGAGGGGGGGGCCAGCAGCCATGGTGCTCAAGAAGCCCGTAGTGGCCAAAAAACCAGCAGGCGCTCAACCGAAACCGCTGGCGGAGAAGGATGCGGACGAGGAGGGGGAGGAGGAAGAGCAGCTGGGCCCCGACGTCCCCGTGGAAGCAGATGCTGTCGACGCTGTGCCCCCCGCTGTCGGCGGCCCCCGAGGGTGCGGCGTGACGCATTACAAGCAGGGCCGCGCCATCGGGTTGAGGCGGAAGCACGGCGAGAAGAACCAACTCGTGAGTTTCGGCGGGAAGAGGTACAAGGACACCTTGGATGAGGATGCGCCCAGGGAGATCGGGGAAGAACTGAAGGCGGCTCTGTTCATGGGCGCCGTGACGGAGGAGGGGGCAAAAGCGGAGGCCGACCGCTTAGTAGCACATCTATCAGCATCACATCCATCATCATCAAATCCATCAGCATTACCGTCATCTTCGTCGTCTTCTTCGGTTGTCTGGCAAGAGAAAGACGAGGCCCCTTCATCGCAGGGGCGCGCGCCCCTTCGTGAGGGGGGCCCCCTGTGGCGGGGCGATCGTGCGCCAGAGTGCAACGCTATTGAAAGCAGGGAAACCCTTCGAGGGTGTTTGAAGAGAGCATTAGCAGCGCCCCCATGGGCGAAGGGGATCCCCTGTGGGAGGGGGCCGCCACGGCATGTAAGTGAAACAGGCGGCGCATTTAAGATAAGGCAAAATGTGCGGCCTTTCGCTCCCTCCGGAAGCCCATCCGTCTTCTGTTTGATTTTCTTGTTGCTGCAAACGTTTGACAAAGCTGGCAACCGGCAGCGCCTGGGGGGCCGCCCCCCGCCCCGACGCGAGCTCGCAGCCATGCGGGCGCCCATCCTGTGCTTCTCGGCGCCCCAGGCCGCGGGAGGGGGAACAGGCGGAGAGGAGGTGACAGAGGGAGGCCCCTGTGGGAAGGGGAGTGGGAATTCGAAAGTATCAATTGTTCTTGACTCCCAGGCCTGCGCCATGGTGGCGCCTGGCGCCTGCGGCGGCGGACTGCCCCCGGGCGACGGCGGCGGCGGCGGCGGCAAGCGGCCTCACGAGGACACGGGGGAGGGGGCGGTGGAGGGGGGCAATCGCGTGAGGAACCCCTGCATGAGGGGATTCGCTAGGCTGAAGTACAGCCGCTCCGAACACCGCCTCTGGCTTCGCCAGAATGCACGCATATGCTGGCAGTGCGGCAAGAAGAGCTACTACGCCGCATGCGTGGCGAAGCCCTGCCAGGAGCACCGCGCGACGCGGTGGTTCCGCGAGCGGGACGACGCTGACCGCAAGGGCAGGCGGTGGCGCGGCGGCAAAAGCGAGGTGGAGCGAGCGAGGCGACGCAAGGGTAATATGTTCCGAACGGGGTGTGAACCTAAAGACCCCATCAGCATAAAGATTTTTTCGAAGTTTGATGTTCTGAGGTTATTGTTTCGTCGATGCTAACTAACTCTGCACCCTGAAGGCACTGGCAGCGCAGATGCGATGGCAGGG